ATTAATCGATTAAATATGGAATTGTACTTTAATGTCCAATTACCACGACCCCCTCCCCCCCACCCCCATCGGTAGCCTAATTCTACTAAGACCTCACTAGATGGAAATCCTGGTAGGTTCAAGCTTGATCAGGATCTGCTCATATCTTCGTAGGTATGGCGTCTGACAATAAAATTTGTATTTAATGTCTGCGTATGTAGGGGTGTGCGATTGACATTCCTCCACGTGGTGCACCCTGGGCAACGCATACTCATACGACAAAAGGTCTATAAACCGGCAATTGACTTCGCACTTCAAACTACCATCACCCCACTGTATGTGCATTCCACCACTCCAACAGTACTCATCTTACCTTTTCTCTGCCCCTGTGTCTGCCTGACTAATTTACACCTGTGAATCTCTCTTCTGTCCCCCTCTTCAATTTTCCCCACTTTGATGTTTCTCCACTCTGTGAAGTTCGAAGTCAGCTAAAGGGCTAATGATAACTATCAAAACGCCTGCCATTTGAAATAAATAAATGTTTACGAATATAATCTATTGAACACATCATCAACGGTTAATACATCAGATTAAAACCTTGGTATTGTTAGGCAGATAGAAGGAAACTTACTTATCAAGTTTTCTAGTTATTTTTCGGTACAAGTAACGATTTCAGCTGAATCATTCATATGGAAGAGAATGATGAAACTTACTGGAAAGATGAGTTTGCGCCCCTTCTTACAATAACTAGCACGACCCGACAAGCGCGCTCACACTACAAGTTAAGCTATATAAGCTACCTCGCTAACCGAAGTAGAAACGCAACGTTGGACCTAAAAGAATTCTGGATTCGTCACATATCCAACCACAAACCTGCATCGCTTTATTCAGAAGCAGGCATTTGGAAATGCATTTGATTTCTCTCACATGCATCCCCATTCATTTCAAATTGCCAAGCCTATGAGTCTGAAATGAACACTCGAAGACCAGTCGTTCAATGCAGCCAGCGTCCAAACAGCAGAAATCTCCGTTAACACTGTCCCGTGACTGCCCATATCTAACAATATGAAAACATTCTTCAATCCAAATATTGCACTTCATTTATTCGTTCTAGTCCTCATTAAGAAATTCTTATAGCGAGCATTTAGTCAACTGCTTTTCCAATTCCCAAGCACATTAGGCAAGGTGCTTCCAAACGCTCATCTCATTTATCTACGCCTTCTAAATTTAATCACTGCGCGTTCAGCCATTCTGTTCGCCGTGTATACGACAATAGAAATCGTACCCGTGACCTCTGACATGACAGACGAGCGTCAAGATAACCAATTGATTCGAAGGAGTTTTCATTACAGAAACAAAAAATATTCAAAGAGATCTGGATAATAAATCATGCTCACAAAAGAGGGAAACAATTCACAGAAATGCTATTGCTACAAAAAAGCTATAGATCAAGAAGCCTTCCGTCTTTTAGAATTATAATTCTGCTCATTCTTTCGTTGCACCCAGGCGTCGAAACGCGGTATCCGTTGAAGGAGAGCGATTATTAGATTACTTGGTCGCCATTGGTAGCGTGCAATCATGTCTTCAATCGCCTCGCGGGTCTGAAAGTGGAATGGAATGGAAAAAAGGGAGATCTACGTGGGGTAGAGGCAATTAAGTTAAGATTTACATACACACACACACACAATCTTACCCTATCTGCTAACTGCTCATCCGATTCACCATCAATGGGATAGATTGGATCCCCGATATAGGTTCTACAAGTGTAATAAGAAATAAAGGACCTTGATACTAATACCTCGCTTGTCATTTTGACAACGCAAGCGAACCACATTATTTCTCCTTGAATATGTACAGGAAAAGGGGTGTGCGATAGACTTACCTTCACGTGGTGCACCCTGGGCAACGTATACTCATACGGCAATAAAGTCTATTATTCGGCAGTTGACTTCTCACTTCAAACTACCATCACCCCATTGTATGTCATTGTCGACTAATTTCACAGTACTCACCTCACCTTTTTTCTACCTTTGTGTCTGTCTCTTTTACACCTTTAAAACACTCTTCTGTTCACACTCCCCTCTCGACTTTCTTTCACTTTGATGTTCCTCCTCCTCTCTGTGAAGCCTGAAGTCAACTAAAGAGCTAATGATAACCATCAAAATTCCTGCCATTTGATATAAATAAATATTTGATCAAACTGTTCAAATTGTTCATCTTGTAGATCAAACTGACTAATGGTGTAATTATAGTGAAAGAATATTATTCATCCTGTTTTATCATGTCACTCTTAAGAAAAGGGGTTTCCAATTGACCATAGGAGAGGGGAGATGGGTTCCAAGTATATCCTCTGGAGAGTAGAGAAGGACACTGAAATTACCGTCAATATATATATATATATATATATATATATATAGCACGAACTGAGCAGACTTTCACCAAATATAACCCCCCCCCCTCATACAGATCAGATTTAACCAAAGAGGACAAGAGGTCTGATAATAATAAAAAATTCTTGATGAGGTCACCAGTTCGAGGGGAATAGGGTCGAGGGTAGAACTCTGGAGCCGGATTCCATCCAATGTCTAATGGCAGTTAACCCGTTTAATTTAAATCAGAATGGCACAATTCAAGATCAAAGAGCACACACACAACAATGCCAGATTGGCTGAGCGTTATCACGGCAGAGGTGAGTCAATAGCCACTGATCGGTAACAC